TTAATTCACTCTTTAAAGGAAAATGTTTGAATAAAAAAAAATGTAACTGAAGTTCTTGCATCTTTTTTTAATCTACAACAAGAATCGTGGCAAGTTGTCATTGGCCATTTCTATCTCACACGGATAGTAGAGCATTGATCCGTAACCGTCGATTACATTACATCCAACGGCCAGTATCCCTCCATCTCAAAACCAAAGTCTCTGATCCCATTCCAGACAAGCCCTTATAAATTTCACGCCTTTACACCCACGGCATCCTATTCCCCCAAATAAGAGTATTTCCGATTGTCTTTCGGGAAAAGCGGCGAATTTCCGATTGTCCTTGGAGATGGAGACTGGCGGTAAGGTGAAGAAAGGTGCCGGAGGGAGGAAGGGAGGTGGACCAAAGAAGAAGCCCGTTTCTCGCTCGGTAAAAGCCGGCCTCCAGTTTCCGGTTGGTCGGATCGGTCGTTATCTCAAAAAAGGCCGCTACTCCGAACGCGTCGGTACCGGTGCTCCTGTCTACATGGCCGCCGTGCTAGAGTACCTCGCTGCTGAGGTAATTTCACCTCCATATAACGAGCTGCATATAGTTTATTCTCCGTTTAATTCGAAACATATACTCCTATGTTATGTCTTCTAATTAGGGTTTACTAATTGGACTAGGAAGCTAAGAACATTTTGCAGCTTCATTTTGTATATTGCTGCTGTGCTCGACGTTGCCGTTCTCTGGTTTTTATGAAGTTACTTGTCTAGGTGAAACCGGAATTCTTGGGTGTAAGGCAAGGATGGAGCTGTTTTGGACAGTTAGAAATATATAATGTGAAATTCTGTTACACATTTAACCAACCAAATCGAATACTTTTGTTAGATCTGGAAAGCCCCAATTTGTGTAATTTCTTTCTTGAATTTGAGGTTTACTTTCTCTTTGTTTTCACTGGCTTTTGATTTACTTTGTATAGTTGCAGTCTCGATTAGTAAAATTTATGATTTCCTTAATCCAGTTATTCACTGGGTTCTCTTTTCTCGATAGACCAAACAGAATGCAAGACAATTATGTGCTGAATTTGTTGGCTTTGGCATTTGTTCAGGTTCTTGAGCTGGCTGGGAATGCCGCAAGAGATAATAAGAAAAACAGAATCATCCCCAGACATGTTCTATTGGCAATAAGGAATGATGAGGAACTGGGAAAACTTCTAGCTGGAGTGACCATTGCTCACGGTGGAGTATTGCCTAACATCAACCCAGTCCTCTTGCCAAAGAAGTCTGAGAAGGCAACAACAAAGGAGCCAAAGTCACCAACCAAGGCTACCAAGTCCCCTAAGAAGGCTTAGTTCTAACATTTCCTCGACTCTCTATCTGTATGTAATTTCCTCTTCCTATCTGGCGCGTAGGAAAGCTTTATCTGTTAGGAATCATGACAAATTGTACTCTTTATATTCCATGTTGGTGTAGGACGTCTTGTGTTTGGAATGAATTAAGTGAAACGAAATTTCCAGGATGATGACATTTCTCTTATATTGGTTTCTGTAGATTCTAATTGCCTTTGTTTGAAAATAATGTCAAGGTAAAATTCTGATGTTGTTTCTCCATTATGGATATCTTTCAGTTTGCCAATGATCTCATGGTACATTGTTCTGCTCTGGTGACACAGTCACATTTGTGTTACTAACTAGTGGGTGGATAATGTAATCAGGAAAATGTGGCTATGAGAAACAGGTTTAACCACTCACATGCCAGATGAAAGTTTCTTCCTCTTGACTCTGAAAATGGGTGTTTAATACCTACCTGTAAAGACGGCTTACCAAGGATTCAAAGCTGTTAAATGCTCAGAATAGTGAACACTGAATTGTCAACTACTAAAACTGAAAATACCTAACAAATTAGTTAGCAGCATTAGCTCAACTGCTTCATTAAGTGATGGCTCTGAGCCAGTGACTAGTGAGTTCGTTGCTGAGCCTGAGATCATTGTTCTGCAAATATCATGATTCATGATTAATGGTTAAAAAAACACAAACCCCCAATCTGGTTTGAAGGAATATATATATTATATTCGTTGTGATTATAGTTATTTATTATTTTATTAAAATTAATCAATTTTAATATTTTTAGATATTATAATTAATTATTTAAAAAAATTATAAACAGGTAAAATATTAATCAAATTAAATAACTTTTTAAATGATCAATAACCACACTAGACTATTTCGTTTCTCTCTCCTTTTGTTTTTATTTTTTATTTTTTACTTTTGAAAGTGAAACTCAAATCATGTACCTTCAAATTTAGTATAAGAAAACCTTTATAAAAAAGAAGTAATCACTAAATCACAAGTTTGTTCTCTTTTTCTTCTCTTGTTTAGTTATGCTAAATTTATTATATATAAAAAAAAAAGCCCAATGATCTATAGGATCAAGGGAAAAGAGCTTAGTATCATTTAAATAAGATCTCAAATTTAAGTTTTATGAACGAAGAAATAAACACGACTTGATTTTAGATTAGTAAAAACTCAATATAATTATAACAATACATTTTAAGTAAAATTTTAAGTTCAAGTTTTATAAAAGTAATTTTAGATTAATTTAGAGTCAATATGATTATAAGATATTGAAAAGTTAATATTAAAAAAAAATTATTGTAAAAATAAATAAATAAATGTCCCTCTCTACTCTCCATCTTTTGTTATGCAGTAATTTATCTTCCTTGCAATCAAGTTGTAAAGCATTATTTTGTTGCACGAGGGGTTTTATTCACAATGATCATTAAAAAAAAAAAAAAGTTAAAATAATCTGGCTGCAAAAGTGCCTCAAAACGGTTCGTTGCATTCAAATATTTTAATAGAAAGACTATTTGTAAAAAATATATGATAAAGAACCTGCTCTCCATCCATAATGTCATTCAATTTATACTGGCCAGTATTTATTGGTGAAGACTAAGAAGAAGCACACGGAAAATAAGAAATCTGAAATCAATACTAATTTCAACAAAACAACGCAAATTTATTCAAGAGAAAAGCAATATTTCAACCCAGTCAAATCATCTTAATTACTGGATGTAAAGCCAAACAATCACGATCAAAGACAACATTCATCTCTCAAACATAATCTGACCATTCCAGAAACAAAATGATCGCCGATTGGCAAAACGCCTCAATCAATATCCAGAAACATAATGATGTCGATTCCAGATCAAAACGCCTCGATTGGGAAAAGAAACCATTCTATTTACCTGTTTATCTTTAAAAAAATAATTGCCAAACAGGATCCAGATCTCAACAGAACCAACAAATCTAAGAACTGGTGAACTTTGTAACAGCCTTAGTGCCTTCCGAGACGGCGTGCTTCGCTAACTCACCAGGCAACACCAATCTGACGGCCGTCTGAATCTCCCTGGAGGTGATCGTCGGTTTCTTGTTGTACCTAGCCAATCGGGAGGCTTCCTGCGCCAATTTCTCGAAAATGTCGTTGATGAAACTGTTCATGATACCCATGGCCTTGCTGGAGATCCCGATATCGGGGTGAACCTGCTTCAGGACCTTGAAGATGTAAATCTTGTACGTCTCGCTGCTCTTCTTGATCTTCTTCTTCTTCTTGTCGCCGCCATCCTTTGAGATCTTCTTCTCGGCCTTTGGCCTCTTCTCTGCCGAGGCAGGGGCCTTCTCCGCCACCGGCTTCTTCTCCGCTGGCTTCTTCTCTGCCTTGGGAGCCATTGATGAAGATTCTAGAGGATGATGGGGAAAATTGGATGAGTAAATTCAGGAATTCGGTGGAGAAGAAGAGGAGTTGAGGGATTATATTTATAGAGAGGTGGGAGAAGTGCTTATTGGGATTTAGGGTTTCACGCGGATCGGTGACGTGACAATATATGGACGGTTGAGATTGCGGTTACTGGGAAAAGGTACAAAATAAAAAGACTTTTTTAGGCTTAAAATTGTTTTGTCACTGGGCCGAATTGAAGGCACCGAAATTGGGCCATTGTTTGTAAGCAACGAGGCTCAGTGGACTCAATTGGATCTTATCTCGGGCTCTCGGCTGTCAAAGTCAAACCTACAGTCTTTCACTTAACCATTTTGGTTTTCTTTCCCTTTTTTTTTGTTTTTTTTATTTTTATTTTTATTTTTTATTCCAGTTTTTTTTTCTTTTTTTCTTTTTTTAAGTCTGGATTACACAATAAGTTATAGCATTTTTCGTAATTCTTAAACCCCTCTTAACTAGTATTCAAGATTCAAAATTTAAAATTTTACATTAAAACTCTTAATGATCTAAATATCTTTTGTAAAAACTATTAACTCATTATATGAAAATTATCTTTCACTAAAAAAACTCTTAAATTGTTTTTCAAGTTACTTTCTTACAATGCTATGTAGATTACATTATTAAAAATTATTGTTATAATTAAGTTGATCTTATTTACTTTTTATATTTTTTAAAGTAGTGGCGCTGAATTTTTTTTCTTTTTTTTTATAACAAAATTTTAATTACAAACAATCTATAGGACATCCATACAAATGAAGAAAGCCTGATAAGATATGTATTATAGACAAACCAAGATAAATAAAAAATAAAAAATAAAAAGTAAATCAACTTCAATATTATTTTAACAAAAAAAATAATGAATGTATCACAAGACAACCTTTAAAACAGTTATATTACCATTTACATGCACATTCGATCAAATACTTTAGATCATTCTAACACCTCTAATCTACTTTTGCAGTAAAATCAGTACATAGGGTCTTCACCGATGTCATGGCCTAACAAGTTAGAACTCCTAAAGCCACGCAGTCAATAGACCGATTTCTTCTTCCCCTTTCTTCTTGTCGGTCATTGTAGATGATGAAAACTGAAACAAAGGGGAGGACGAGAATAGCAAAATGAAAAGGAAAGAGAGCCATAATGAAGAGATAGAACCAAAAAATGGGACCAAGATGTAAAAAGAAAAATATGGAAAAAGAAACTAAAGAAGCTCAGAAAGAACAACTAAAAATCGTGAAGGAACAAGAAAGAGGAAAGAGGAACTGCCGAATATGTGGAAGGAAGCATATATAGAGGAAACAGAAGATTACAAGTACATGAAGAAAATAGGGACGTGAAGAAAACAATGAAGAAGAAGACGAAAGAAAAACAAGAAAGTTAGCAAATGGAAGAAGCAAGGGCTAGAATGCCTCTACAAGAGGGTCTATAACTTATAAAAATTTGAATTTAAGTTAGAAGTCTCAGACTCTCAGGTTAAACTTTAAGACAAGTGAAAAAGAATTTGAGAAACTAGAAGATTATCTCTGTTCTATAATCCATCATCATATCTACCAAAAAATTCACAAGGCTTGGGTTGATCCCCTTCACCCACCTTCCTAGATCCCCCAAAATAGGGATTTTTTACCAGAAGAAAAAGTGAAAGGGAAGGGACAAATAGGAAAATTAAGTGATCATAAAGAGGAAGATAATAGCACAAATAACATTACTATACCAAAACAATTTAAAGCAGACAAGAAATTAGGTCCAAACACAAATACCATGTTATTGCCAAACATGATTATACACCAGCATGAACTGTAATTTACAAAGTAAACCAACAGATTGGTGCATATAGGTATTCTGTTCAAAAATTTAAAACATGCTTAAACCAAATAAAGTCTCAAAATTCAAAACTAAAATCCTTTATATTGGTCTAACTTTTATGAAATGACCACCACTTGAACCCCTGGACCTCCTCAGGGAGCTGTAAGAGAAATAAAGCAATAAAAGTGCCAGCATTCAACTGACAATCGAAATGAGAAACGGCAGCAGCCTCCATCTTTAATAAGCGCATCCAAATGAAAGCCAATCTTCTCAAAGAAAGCTGCCAATTTCAGTGAAAAGTCAAAAAATAACCAAACATTATGAATTATATAATAGAAATGACACTGAAAATAGTTTTAATGGGAACCGATAGCAATTCTAAATGCAACTCAGTAATCACACAAACTTATCCCACAAGACACCACTTTCAAAGTAGCTCATTTTTTATTGTACATATGCACAATAGCAAAAAGAAGTTGAATTCAGAAACACCAGTTATTCCACTCTTCCACTATACTCTTCTTTTCTTCCTCCCATTATGTTTCATTGATCATGATGAATTAAATTAAAATATGTGGTTAAATGAACCCCCAAAAAATTTTTTTTAAAAAAAGATAATTCAGATATCAAAGAAAAGTTTCTCAATCTTCTCATCCAAAACCTCTCTTTTCTTCTCCTATATATGTTGCATCCAAGGTACACCTACGGCTCACCAAAGGGTAACACAAAAATGAAAGCAATAATAGATCCAACAGTTTATGCTACTTCCCTATCTTATGACATAGTATTAGATAGATATTCCAATTGATTTTCTACTACTTCAGATGCACTCTCAGAAATTCGTCTTTTCTTGAACCATTAAACTTACTAGTTGACTAAGGTCATGATTGTTTAACAGAATAATACAAGTAAATGTGAGACCAAGAAAAGGTTGACTCAGACAATCATCCATAAAGTTCATAACTCACGAGATCACACCCACTCCTCAATTTCAGAGATAATGGAACTGTTTAATGAATTTAAAAACTAATACTTGATCAAAGCCATTTCTATGTATACACAAAGAATTCAAACCAAAACCACCATGTACAACTATATGTTATCATTTCTAATCACTACACATTTTAATTAAAAAATAAAAAATAAAAATTATGGCAGTCATACCATTCACAATCCTTGCAATCAACATTGAAGCAAAAATGGCATAGAATAATCTTGCTACTCAAAAGTCAGACCTACGTTAAAAGGGAATTGCTAAAAGTTGAATATTTACTTGGATGATGATTAGACCAAAATTTCACTATATATATCATGATTCAGGCACAGAGAAACAAGCATATACATGAAAGACATTATTTAAAATCCAAAGATACACTATCACAATCTTAAGCAAATGCATAAAGAACATGCTAATAATGAATGAAAATATTTCTTACCAACTATATTACAAGGACTCTTCACTTTACCCTAATGAACCCATGACAGTTACCATAAAGGGTATGAAAATAACTCTCAGGTCTTAGATATGAATCATAAAACTGACAAAAGCCATCCAGATAAGACACATACACACTCATTTCAGACACTTGATGCACAATTTATTTAAAATAGCCCACCAAGACCAAGATTTCCAAGCATATACCCTCAGATTTTTAAACGCATATCAGTTAGGGAAAAAACCAATTTCCATACTGCGTTTATACTAGTCATTTATTTTTTTGAATAATTTTGAAGCATAAATGGTATCCTACTTATCTTGCTACTCAAAAGTACTTTAGGTTATAACCAATAACTTATTACAAATTTAGATAATGATTAGACCGAAACCTTCCTTATATCATGCATAAAGACGTGTGCGTGCGTGTGCAAAAGACTAATTAAAACCCAAGGCTACATCATCACAATCCTAAACAAATAACAAGAAGAAGGAACCAAATAAAAGATCTCCAATCTTAAAACACTAGAAAGAACCTAAAGTATTTGAAAAAAGTATGCTATAAATGTATAACAATATTTCTTCTCAACTTCAATAGTCAGACTTTACAGTTTACTCTAATGAATCCAGGTCAAACAGCTTATTGCTCGGACATAACTCTTGGTTCTTGAAGAATGTAAAGTAACTATATCAGACAAGTATTCATGCCAAACACATGATTCATAACCCATTTAGATTTTAACATAACCTACCAAAACCAATATTTTGAAGACTACAACCTCAGATTTCCAATCAATTTTTATCAGTTGAAAAATCATTTTCTAGATGGCATTTATACTAGTTATTAATTATTGGAATAAATTTTGAAGCATACATGCCATATCATTTATATTGCTACCTAGGCAAAAACAATCCTCCTATAGAGGATGACAGCACACTCCGACTCTGCTCTTTTCTCACTCTTGTTTATTTAAACTATTGTAAATTAAAAGTTTAAAACTCTACGTTCCATTTTAAGTTAAGAATCATATTCCAAATGGCTTTCAAGCATAAATGGTGTGTCTCTTATCCTGCTATCTAGGCAAAACAATCCTCCTATAGAAGATGACACCACACACCGACTCTGCTTCATTCTCACTCTGGTTTATTTAAATTATTGTAAATTAAAGATTTAGAACTCTACATTCCATTTTAAGCTAAAAATCATATTCCAGATGGCTTGAAAGCACAAATGGTATATCATTTATCTTGCTAACTTGGTAAAACAATCCTCCTATAGCGGATGACGCCACACTCCGGCTCTGGTCCTTTCTCACTCTGGTTAATTTAAATTATTGTAAACTAAATGTTTAAAATTCTACATTCCATTTTAAGCTAAAAATCATATTCCATATGGTATTTATACTAGCGATCGATTCTTGCAATTAACTATGAAGCAAAAATGGTATGTCGTTAATGTGGCGTAGTGCCAGAGAGGATAAGGTACATGATCCATCTTGGTGCTTGTTTTCCTTAAATTTAAACAATTAGAATTCAAAACCCTATGTTCCCCCGCGCTATTCCCGCTTGATGAATCAATTACCAAGGTTGCTACACCAATTTTCTTTCAAAAAACATAATCAACAACTACCTATATCATTAGAAAATGACTAGATCAAAACTTTCAAACAATTACAAGCAGGCACAGACCTAGTACACTAAGGGCAGAATTTGAAATTCAAAACTACAGCATCAGAATCATAAGCAAAAGCATAAAGATCAGACACAACCAAACCAAAGATATTCACTCTCAAATCAAAACACTAGCAATAGCCTCAAATATAGACAAAAAAAAACAAACACCAAATATTCTAAATCTCAGTTAAAATGAAAATCTAACAAAGAAATGAAAATGGTGCTAGATTTGAGATAAACCTTTGAGAATCGGCATTGACATTTCGGTGCACAATTCGACCACTACTGGTGCAATTAAGACCGCTGATGAGGCCCCGCAATCCCAAATCCAGTTGAGCAGGGGGTGGGCCATCGTCCTCCTCATCTTCTTCCACCTCCACCACTAATCCCCTCTCCTCATAATAGAGACCAAAAGAAGTTCTTTCTGGCAATCTCTCAAAGTAATTTCCATAGAAGTACTCCGGACTAAATTCACCCCTTTCATTAAACAACATAATATGGCCATGCCACTCCCAAACACGGTACTCCCCATCCCTATCCTTGCGGGAGCTGACGCAGACATAGTGGTCTCTCAAGGTGACGGCCTGACCCGAATTGACCATCAGTGATTCGGTCTTGCCGGAGATAATGAGCCTGACAACTTCCTCCTCCAGCTCCCGCTCCTCTTTGAGAAGACGCTCCCTGTGACGATCATCGGCCGTTCTACCTTGCTCATCAACACCCTCTTCGAGGTTATCTAGCGGGGCGAGGATTTCATCGATGGAAGATGAGGGTGAGGGGAACCTTTCTAGGGAGAAGGAGGATGTGGAGCTAATTTGGAGTTTCTCCACCAAGGAATCGATGAGGCTTTCGACGGGGATAGGAAGGGGGGAGGCAGTATTATTTTCGCCGTTGGAAGAGGCAGTATTGTTTTCGCCGTTGGAAGAGGCAGTGCTGTTTTCGCCTTTCCAAGAGGCAGTATTGTTTTCGCTGTTGGGGCAGGCAGTATGGTTTTCGCCGTTGGGGGAGGCAGTGCTGTTTTCGCCTTTGCAAGAGGCAGTATTGTTTTCGCTGTTGGGGGAGGCAGCATGGTTTTCGCTGTTGGGGGAAGCAGTATTGTTGTCGTTGTTGTTGGAGGTGGAGGAGGAGGAGGAGGAGGACGAGGAGGACGAGGAGGAGGAGGAACTCATTGTGTTTGTTTGTTTCTCGGGAAAGAGGGATGGGTTGGGGTTTTTTCAGTGAGGAAATGAGAGATTTTAGAGGGGTTTTAAAGGGGTTGGGGTGAGAATGAAATATCGCCTAGACACGTACGCCAGGATAGATATGAACGGATTCTTAAAAAATAAATAAATAAATAAAAATACAAAACAAATAATAATGCTCAAATTTTGAATTTTAATACCATTTAAATTATAAAATTATTTTATAAAATTTAAATAAAATTTTTTACTTTTTAGCAAATTATTATGTAAACCATATGGCTTCCCACTCTATCACTTAAAAAGGGATTTTTATATCTTTAAAGAGCCACCTAATTTAGCTAATTTATATCTTATAAATAATTTATTTAAAGTGTATAGGCTCGAAACTCTCAACTTTTAAGTGTTTATAGCACTGCTCTTTTTGTTTTTTTCCTTTTTTTTTTTTTAAGGAAGAAGATGATTGATATGTACTCCATTCTAATATTTTACCTTCTTTTTTTTTTTTTTTAACTCCACCTACCCCCATTCACTTTATAAGGCAAGTAAGTAATTTTAAAATTTGTCTACATTATTATTGTTCACATATAGCAATGGGATGAAAGACAAATTTTTTTTTCTTTTTTTTTTATTTGGTAAATGACAAATTCTTTAATTGGAGATTTATGTCTTAATGCTAAGAGATGGTTTGAAGTAGTATTTGATTCTTTCGCTTTTTATAAAATAGAAAGGTTTAATCCCCAATTTTATTCTTAACTATTGTACGGATTCTCAATTTGATCCTTAAACTAAAAAAATCCATAATTTGATCTTTAAACTATTGTATAAACGCCTGATTTGATCCATATTGTTTATCAGTTTACCTCAAGTTGGTTTTTTCGTTAAAAAATCAATTAACGTCTTTTATTATTAACGTGACACGTGACCGTTAAATTAAAAAACCAATTGACGTCTTTTATTATTAATGTGACATGTGACCGTTAAGTTATTGTTTTTCATCGTTAAATTATTGTTTTTCACTATTAAATAACAAACATGTTAGTTGGTTTTTACAATGTTTTGAAAACCGACCTAGAGTTCAAACTGTTTTGACATTCGAGTCTCGGTTTGACTAGTTTAACTACTTAAATCATGAAAATTGCTAGTTCAATTAAATATTAATAAATATAATATTGTGCATAATATTGTGCAGCATTTACCAACAAACTTACAGTGGTTCCACTGGTTAGTTGTCTTCTCCCTCACAATGAAGGTGGAGGTTCAAGCTTGAGCCCAGGTGAAGTCAAAATATAATTAACATGTCTCTAACCTACCATCCATAATATAATAATAGATTTTTATTAGATAAAATAAAAATATAATAAATGTAATTTTTATAATTAATTTATATAAAAAACTATAAAAATTGATTTTAAATTAATTAATTAACTAATTAAAATCATCTACATAAATGTCAATTTTTATAATTTTTTATCTAAATTAATT